AGTGTCCCAGAAGAGTGTCCCACAAGAGTGTCGCACAGGAGTGTCCCACAAGAGTGTCCCGTAAGAGTGTCCTACAAGAGTTTCCTACAAGAGTGACCCACAAGAGTGTCCCACAAGAGTGTCCTACAAGTTGTGTCATCTGGACATATGTAGCTTTTCGAACGTGTTTGCATTCGGGTTCGTGGGCTCCATCTTGTTTCTATTCATGAGGCCATCGCTAATAGTAGCAAGAAGCTAGTAGGTTGGAGGCCATCGCTACTAGGGTGGAAGTCATCGCTACTTCGCTACTAGTAGCAAGAAGCTAGTAGGTTGGAGGCCATCGCTACTAAGCACTGTCCTGCCGAGGCTGCCCTGTCATCATCGAGAATTGCCAAGCCGTCGTTCGGCGAAACTGTACCAAGGCAGCATTGAGTTTCAGAGGGTGTCTACTGTCTACTCCAAGCATGGGAAGACAAGGAGGTTTGATAGTTTGACGCTCTAGAAAATTGTAAGGATGAAAAGACACGAACATACACAAAAGAAAACACAGCCGCAAGTTTATCATTTTGTTTTTGTGAAAGGGTTTTGTGAAACATCACCCTTTTCTCAACTTGCAGTATTTGGTAGAGATGTGTAGAGTTTTTCAGCGTGACAGACAATAGACGTGAGAACTTTGGAGATTGCAAATACTGCGCAAAGGAAAAGCAGCGGGGTGAGCGCGAACTACAAGAAGGCTATGGTCAGTGTAAAATTTGATTTTTGCACTCTGTGATAATACAGTATGTGATAATTCAAATTCCTGATGTCAATTTTTGTTTAAAGTCCCCACCTGTCAGTTCCAGAAAGGCCCTCTCGCGATTTGGTCAAAGAGCTGAAACATTGTCCCCGGCCAAGCCGATGGTAGATGTTCTTTGCAGTTCGCCACAGGCCAAGCGTTTTTCGCCACCTGCGGTCTGGATGTGTCGAGGCCATTTTCCAGGCGGAGGGACGACATTTGGACGTGACTCCCGGACCAAACTATCAATTTGGGTGAATCCATTCCAAGCAAAAGTGAGTTCTTTGGAAAGCCAACAATCACGCATCAGAAATTGACCTTTAATATAAAAACCAATAAATTCATTTCTGAGACAAAAGTCACGTCCGACAAACTCTAAGACTTCCCCCAGATTGTAGCTCTAGGATTCACCCAATTCTCAATAGTTGTCCTCCAACGTTGCAGGAGAAGAACTGCAAATGGAACCACAGTTCCCAAACACTATGTTTCCATCGTATCGTATCCACAGCTTCTAGTCATTCGCCAGGGGCAGCTCTGGAAGAGGCGCCACAGCTTGGATTGGTTTCTAAAGAGGAGCTGTGCGTGAGACTTTCGCTGCTTATTCGGGTTCAGATTCACCCAAAACCAGCGATGACATGCGACGACCAACTAGTCGCAGAGGTCTATGATGTGGTGGTCTTCCCAAAAATCTCGGAACCAAATGAATAGCGCGAGCCATCCTGTGTCCAGTTACTAGTAGCTTAAGTAAGGTACTAGCTTACCAGTCCCTTCCTTAATTAAGTAGGCAGTCTCTACTGTACTTAATTAAGTAGTGAGCAGGGGGAGCGGGCTAAAAAGAAGCAGTCCGGTTTGGGCAGATGAACATTCCATCTCCTTCCATCCTTTGCTGCGGGTCCATTGTGCCGCTTGAAGTTGGATGACGGGGTCCATTTTGGAGCTTTGTGGCATGCAACACCTGGTATAATACAGAAGGAGGCGGTCAAAACAGCAGTCCTCTGGAAATTGAATAGGCTGTGGGAATACAAGGGTTTTGCTGGACTTGAACTCTTGGGACAGATTCTTTGAGAGTGTTTAATTTATAGACTGAAACCAATGCTGTTAATTATTTTGTGTAGTCAACTGAGACACTTTTGTTTGGAACCTGTTATATTGACAGCAGCTGCTACTACCATTAAGGTGTGCATCTGGATACACCGTCACTTGCACAAGTGATATTTTTTTTTACGTGTCTTCTTGCCTTTGTTTCTGGTCATTCTCAAATATTTCAAGGGCAGGCCGATCAGCCTTTTAAAAGCATGATGGGCGGGGTGATAGCATGCCTTCCCCCAGAACAAGGACATTTGTGACACATCTTTGTCACAACACAGCCATCCATCCTCGCTAAAGGCTAAGACCTTTTGCACCAAAATTGATGCTGTTGCTTCTGACGGAGCGATGCAAGCTTCACAACAATCTGGCACTGCACACGAACTGGTCCATCTCATGCTCATTGACCTGACTCAGACATGTAGGAACATTGTCATAGCAAAGGCTAGAACTTGCAAAATCTCAAGACAAAAAGCAGTTTATGTAAACAACCACCCTGAGCTGCAGCACACATAAATGAATGCTGTAACACCCGAGAATCAGATAAGCAACGGACATGGCTTAGGATGCAAAAAAGGCTATTTTCTATTAGTTGAAAGTTGCACCACATCGTGCAGGTCGCCCCTTTGGCTTGCTTGCCAAAGCTCCTCGGGCCCACACACCACCAGCTCAAGGACTGAGTGGCTCGCGGCTCAGCTGTGCGGTCAGCCTGTCCGCCGGCTGGAGTTGGGAAGAAAGCACAGGACTTCGGTGTTGGGAGCATGGTTTCGCCATATGACGAGCTGGGACCGCCATTCTTTGCCTCGTTATTTTTTTTGGTGCAGGAAAGCCTCCACTGGGAGCGACTTTGGGAGCTCCTTCGACCAGATGTACCACCGCTCCTCCACTGGGAGCAACTTTGAGAAGATGCCCTTCAGTTGCAGCCCTGTCGGCCCTGTCGAAAGCAATGCTTTGCTTCCATCACTTCAGGCTTCGTTTGTTTTCTAGTGCTCCCTTTTGGTTATGGCCAGAATCATTTTTCTGATGTCACACCTGTCCTGGACTTATATTAATATCATTCACAGCAAATTTGGATGCAGGTTGCAGATTGTTGTCCACTGTTCCAGCATGAGCTTGAGGCTATTCCAATCCATTGCTGGGTCGCATGATGGATCAAGACCGAACTTTGTATGGAGGCTTCTTTGCAGGGTCGGAACCTCATTCAGTAATTCCAGGACTTGCTCAGTTGTCTCCGCTGTAGGAGTCCTATCATCTTTACTTGTGCCTTGGGCAATCCAAGACTGAAGTCTTTTGGCCAGGGGAAGCCTCCATTCTCATGAAATCACACAAATCCCGGACCTCGCAGGACCTCGCAGGACCTAGGGACCTGGCTGAAGTCTGAACGGCTCAACCCACTAGTCTGCTCAACCCACTAGTCCGCTGGCGCGCATCGAAGCAAACATAAGGCGAGCCTTTGCAGCACCAAAACTGACACAGATAGAGCCTCACTGGTAGGGCATCGTTCAATTGCAAGGTACGTGCGTGGATCCCCATAGAATGCAGAATAGGACGCTACCTATTCATCGTCCATAGGTGCAAAATGGATTGAATAGTTTGGATGCCCTGCATTTGAGACTGACGCCACATAGTTTAGACCTGATCCCTGTTGTTTTCCCGAGTGAGCACAGTAGCTTGTACATGAGAAACATGCATTTGGCTAGGTCCACTTTGAATAGTTGAAGCTGTACCAATGCATCACGTTCAGCTCATGTTCGATCCCATCTCAAGCTGTTGACTGTGCCTCGCCCGCAGAGGGATGTTACACTAGCTTTTGCGTTAGCTTGCCTAGGCTTTTGGCCGAAGGCCGAAGACTTTGGTAGGACCCATTTGCCATGGTTGCTTGCTCAACCTGGTGCGGATGTCGAGGAAACCCTGTGCGACCACCAGTAACATGAAATGTCCATCAAGTGAACGTTGGAGCACCTTCCCGCAGGGCTTGGATGCACAAGTCTTAGAGAGCTTCTCAGGACTCAAGACATGTGACATGAAGGACTGACAGTCACCACAGTGGCGAAGTGATATGCCTGGTCCGAGTAGAACTTGCTTTGCTAGTCTTACCATTCTTGCCACACCGAAAACAGAGATGAAGACATAATACAGGATTACAAGCAATCTACGCAACTGAGAGTAAGCCAATCAGAATGCACGTGTAGAATGGCCATCGGGCAGAATTACCATCGAGCTGAATGGAGGGAGCAATCAACAACGAAGACGGATTGCAGGCCCGCCTTTAAATGCATTTGAGCAGTGTGGATTGGCATTGGTCGGTTTGCCACATTGCAGAAGCTCCACTAGGCCCAGGCCCAGGCCCCCTGGTTTCAGAAGGTTTGCTTCCTCTCCAGTCGAGCTTCGGCGTTCCATGGCGTTCCAGGTGCTGGAAACTTTGGCACGGCAGCTCTTGGCCACCAAGCTGCAGCATCAGGTGGCGTGTGACTTCGCCCGGCGCCTGCGGTCTGCAGGTCGGATGTGCAATAGGTTTTTTTCCGGTCGAGTGTCGCATGCCGAACGAACATCCGACAGAACACGTAGGTCAACTTGCATTTACTTAATTATATTTGCTGGTCATGGAGTCTGCAGATCACCTGCAACAGCATGACAGATGCATACAGATGTTTAATGATGTTTCTTTCTTCCATTGGCATATCCCAAATCATTGCAACCAGTTGCAGAACCAGATTCTTTAGATGACATGAATCAAGTCAAATGCTTGCTGAGAGGGAATGTTTCAAAGTATCGCTGGCCTTTTATATCCTTTAATCATCATAGTATCCAGCTATGCATGCAACTTAGGCAAGTGCATTCATGGCTTCATCGTTTTCATGCTCACTCTCTGATCTTCAGTTCTCCTTCACTTTGTGCATTTGAGACAACCTCAAATTCAAGAGACCGATCTTGGAGGTCTATGCACCGCTAGCTTGGCTGACAAGGAGCGTGGGGCCTGAACGTGGACCGATCTTGTGATGCTGTACTCGTACTGCCGGATTGCTGGTCCGCACATTCTTCCCTTTCAAGACCAGGAAATGATTATGTGACCAGGAATCTTGCAAGTCTTGCAAGGGCAGGTGGAGAAAGGCAGAAAGGCTTTCAAAACCACCAAATTAGCCAGTTCGCAAGTCTTGCATGTTTCCTCACAAATCCCAACACATCCAGCACATGACGCACATGACGAGGAGAATGCAGTCCCAGCTCGACCGGTGCACGCACAGGAGGTGCGTGCGTGCATTCAAGTCGGGCTGACGATTTTCTTTAGGATCTTTTTCTGTTTTTTTGGGGGGATGTTTTTTCTGGTAGCGCTTTCATATGGTTGTTACGTGGAAGGCGCAGCACTTTCAGGGGCAGCACTTTGCGAACCTCAAAGTGCAAATTTCGTAGCAAGGGCAGCACTTCGTGAACCTCGAAGTGCAGATTTCGTGGCAAGCGCAGCACTGCGTGAACCTCGAAGTGCAGATTTTGTGGCAGGGCAGCACTTATCGTGAACCTCGAAATGCAGATTTCGTGGCAGACGCAGGTGATGACCGTTGACAACCATCTTGCAACTTCATATGATGTTGATGATGATGATGACGACGATGGTGATGGTGATGAACCGTCAAGAAGATGATTCTGAATGTGATGTCACTGTCTAAGACGATGGCAAAGATGATAGTTAGACAGTTGAAGTTGGTGCCCGTTCTTGAAGGAGAACCCTTCCCAGCTGCTTTCTGAGAAGATCGGTTCCAGCAGCAAGCACCGACACCTATTTAATCTTACCGGTGTGCTACAATGGAATAGCTTCTGCGCTCTCTAATTTTGCCGTGGGCTGGCTCAGAAAAGGTGCACTACATTGGACTGACCAATGCCTCCTCTAGATCTTACCCTAAGCTGCTACATCAGAATGGCATCTACCTCCGCTAAGTTACTCACGACACCACTGCTTCCTTTCGTTCGTTCGTTCTTCCTTCCTTCCTTCCTTCCTTCCCTCTTTCTTTCCTTCCACGCCCCACAGCTAGGCCTGAAAAAAACAATAATATATATATATATATTATATATATATATTTATACACCACTAATATATCCCCCATATCAGTGAATGAAGCCACGAAAAGCCAACAGAAGCCAACCGAAGCCACGAAAAGCCTACACACGCCACCAAAAGCCACCGAAACCCAAAGCCCCCAAAAGCCAAAAGCCACCAAAAGCCAAAAGCCAACAGAAAGCTATCGCACCACAAACGGAAACAAAAAAAAGACAGGGAAAACGTTCCTAAAACATATGCGTTCCTTTAAATCGGTATGGCGAGACGTTGGCTAAAGCAAAGAGCGAAACGAAGCCGTCTTCTTTGTGCAGTCCATCAGTTCTTTGCAGAGATCCCACAGATGAGAATGGTGAGATGATGAAGACAAATGCTCAGGGCCAAACTGGTGCTCTTGAGAGCCCCAAGCGTTTGGTAGTGTACAGCACTTGCTTTCCAAATTTAGTGGTTTGACTCGACCTCGATGTGCCACAGACTTCGACTTCGATGTTTGTCCTTTTCTTTAAGGCGGTTCAAGACCGACATACACATAAAATGGCGGACCTCAAGGTCTCTATAAAAGGATGTTTTGTATGAACATGTACTTTTTGATGTCAGGTGCCTGCAATTTGTAGAGGCCATGTTGTATTGCGTTCTTGGATAGGAGAGGTAGCTAGGGTGGGATCACTATTCTGTAGTACTTTTCATCAGTTTGGACCTGGCAAGTCACTACGTCGGAACAATCATTTGTAGTGCACACATTTTCGTTGGACTTTGCAATGACAGCCTTTACTTTGTGTGGAGGGACTCGTATCTTGCTTCAACCCACGAATGTGTACAAAGTACAAAGTAAGAGGCAAACTTGGCAAACTATCCAAAACATCCTTGCCGAGGCCCGGGAATTGGTTTTGAGTTTGACCTAAGCGAACGTTCATTACTGGGTTCTGGGTCCCGCAAATTATTGCGCACATCTTAGTCTGGGCGCGTTAAATTTGTGGTCAAATCGAGGGCCTTTGTGACAGATCCCTTTCTTAGCAAAGCCTTATTCCAGCCAACAACTTAACAATTCAACAATGAGTGCTGATCTGGCTCTACAATATGAGATAGCTGCCAACTCACCTCTACAAAGCTGCATTCCCAGACCAATCAAGAAACTCCTATATGTTCTGACGGTCAGTACCAGAAGGGTTGGCCGCTTGGGTCACCAGGGCTTGGAGCCAGATCAGCACTCATCGTTGAATTGGTTTGCTGCTAAATAGGAATTGCGAAGAACGGGAAGATGTCACAGTGAGGCGCTGACAGTTGTTGAAAGCATTTGGTAATGCCCTTTTGACAGGTCCAGATTTCCAAATCCTGAAAAAGCGATGCAAACAAACCGGGTGGTGGAGAGTGCGTGCTGATGGAAAAGCATATCCGGCTTAGCATGGCTTAGCTATGCGACATATTTAACAATGAGTCCTGATTTGGCTCTACACTATGGGTAGCTGCCAAATCACCTCTACAAAATGCATTCGACTCTCCAGGCCAACCAAACTTTACGTTCCTGGTTTGTACTGGAGGGTTGTTAGCTCGCTTGAACCCATGGATTTCGACAACAATCATTCTGTCCCATCAGCCCTACAAAATGCATTCTCCATGGACTATCCACAACTCGCTTTGTCTCCTAGCTTCCACAAACAAACTATTCATCAATCTGAAACCTTTGTTGTTTGGCACATCCTGTAAGGAACACTGTATACTGGCTCCAAAGGGAAAAATATCCGGACTTGCATGGATGCAAGTATGCTCAAGCAAGGCAAGTTTTTCATGGTGGGACCTTTTTAGTCAAAGGTTTTCAGGCAAAGGCAAACACCTTTTGGATGGGCAGACCATTTGAACAACTGTTTCTGACAGGTCCTTGGGGTGACGAAGTCGAAGTCGACGGATCAAGCAAGAGAAATTTGTCCGTGCAACCAATGGCCAATTGTGCTTGAAGATCGACCAAGAACATTTTGTTGGGATACAACTGTGTCATCACTTTCTATATCTTTCTATCGACATGTGTCTCCTGGATGCGATGGATGGATGGATGGAAGGAAGGATGGATGGACGGATGGACGGATGGACGGATGGAGGGATGGAGGGATGGAGGGATGGAGGGATGGAGGGATGGATGGATGGATGGATGGATGGATGGATCTATGTATGTATGTCTAAACGTTTGTATGTTTGTATGCCTGTGTATTTCTGCATTTGTTTGTATCTGTCTATCTCTGTCTCTGTCTCGGAATGGAATGGAATGATGGATGGATGGATGCATGTATGCAATGGATGGATGGATGGATGTATGCATGGATGGTAATGTAATGTAATGTAATGCCAATGCTCCAAGTGCGTTTAACAAATTTGACAATCACCCTAAACGCCCAACCCTGGATAGGAAGAGGAGCTATGCAAGTTCCTTTCGAAGCTGAAGGCAGAGCTGAAGGCAGAGCATCATCGCTTTCCTTTGCCAAAGAATCCATCTCCGTCGAAGTCCGTGTGTGACACTCCAGAGACGGCAAAGTTGGCGCCCACCTGGCATGTTTCAATCTTTTTGTTTCCAGATAAAGAGCTGGCCTGCCATCAAGATACATCAAGGCAAGTGACAACTGCACTGATCTGCATGTCACTGCATTTCCAGGTATCCGGAAAGTTTGGTCTCGACTCCATACCTGGAGTCTGATCCCAAGGAGCTATCTTTGAGTCTGAATATACCCGCCTCCATAGCAGTTGCTGAATCAATGCAATCCAAGAGTGGGCAAGAGATACTAGTAGAGATTCAAGATGCATCAAGATACTACCATGTCGTGCAATGCGAGAGTTCATAGGCTGACAGGCTGACAGGTTGTGTCAGTGACGGCCAGCTACTATATAATTCTCCTTCCACCTGGCCCAGTTCGCATTTGGTCCTTGCATTTCACATGCTTCCACAAATGGGATTCCACAGACTGTGCGTGATTGCGGCATGATGTGCTTCGGGTGGCCGTACTCACGCTCGAAGCACACTGAATTAGCTGAGGTGGAAAAGCCCTGGCTCACAAGGTAGGACGGAACAGCTGCTGCTATTGCTGATGTTGATGGAAGACACGCGAACACGGATATTCCACATTTTGACGCATATGCTGTCTGAAAGTGTCACAACACAGTGATACGTTGACCTAGCTTGGCGAGCACACCATCACTTGCAGTAGTGGGGTCAAGATTTACTCCATCGTAGCCAAAAAGGATGCTGCTCTGTGTAATTATGTGACTTTAAGTGGACTTGGACATTGGACACTTCACCAAGACTCCCCGAAAGACACACGTTTTCACCTGGAGCCTTGTCGAAGTCACACAGAATCGATTCATTTCACGTCGTTTTTCTATCCTGTTCGAATCTGTTCGACCGGTTTTGTTTATGTTATTGTTTTTTTCCTGGCCACGCAGTCCAAAGTGAGAGATCGCATCGACCGGCCGTGTGACCTGTTCGTCACTGTTCGTCGTTGCTAGAGTCCGTTCGCCCAGCTCGGTTTTCCAAAAAATAATGCAGACCGCTTCCAGCGCTTGAAGCAGCTCGAAGTTCGAGGAGCGGAAACGAAAGAGCAAAAGGCAAAAGGATTTGGGTTCGTAAGGTTTTGCGTTGAACCTTTGTGTTTCAGGTTAGATGAGAATTGAGACTGAGACGTCGTTTCATAAGGAGTCATAAGGATTTTGGTTGATAGCATCAGTGCGCATCAGCACCAGACGTTTAGATTTGGGTGTTGGACCTGGAGTTTTGCTGTGAGGATCACAAGGACACGCAGCGCGTACAGATCTTGGAGGGCTTGCAGCGGCCTTAGGATTGGATTCATACCATGATTCATCATTTGCACAGCTGGCACAGACCTTCCCTGAGGTCAGCACGGTGAGGACAGAGGATGTGCCGTTGCGAGCCTTGTGGAAAGAGTTCCAAGCCTTCGAAACTCTGGAACCAGCGCCCGTACCTGCGGTGCCCACGGTGCCTCCGGCCTCGACACCAGCCCCGAAGCCACGCTTGCCATGTATGGTGAATTTGGAAAAGCAAGAGAAGCACTTGGAGCAGATGAACATCCTCTTGAATCGCATGGAGGATCTTCAACCATGTCCTGGGACCCCTCCGCTGCTTCAGAATCTTCAGATGCCATCACTTGGAACACCACCGCTCAAAGAACAGCCGTGCCAAGCTCATACATGCCCTGCAAGCTCAAAGGAGGACAGGTGCCTCAGCAGTTGGTACTATTCAATACATATCACTGTATTGAAGGGCTCAAGACAGATAGGCTGCTAGGTCTTCTTGGAGGAGAACCGGACGCACGTTTATTGATGTCAACTTGTGAGGATTAGCTCGGGCCAATTGTTTTTTGATGCAAATTGTTCAATTGATGTTTGTTCACTCAAAATGCGAATGTCTTTGCAAATCGTGCACCTGAATTCGCCAGGACTTGGGTACGCCGAGCTCCTGTTTGAGGCCATTTGTTTCTATTCACTTGGGGTCAAAGGGGAGATGGTCTCGCTACAGGTCTGTGGGTCAACCCCCCTCATGGTAAAGAGCTCTTAAACCTGCACGAAAACTAAGCGAGCTTCCTTGGATATGTTCACCCACGGTGGACTCCACGGTCGTTTTCGGTCTAGGCTTTGACATGGGACACAGCCATGTCACCGTTCCCCACAGCCGCCCCAAGTCGCAGCCAAACTGGCACGTCTTGCGTCGCTTCAAACGAACTCTCATGGCGACAAAAAGGACCTTTGGGAACGAAAGAATGAACAAACTCAAGGTGTCTTTGCTTGCAGGAGAGCTCGCAGCAGGCTATCCCAGTTGCGGCAGGGCCTCAACACCTGAGAGAGGCTTGCTGGCCTTCGTTGCGAGTGCTTCGTCACTGGCCATATTTTTTGGTGTGGCAGATGCTTGCACCGCTCCACTGCTCCAAACGTGAAGATCACACCGAACGTGAAGATTTCTCGCCATGCAGATCACAAGCATGAGATTTTTTTCTTGATTGTACATCCAGAAGATGTGGCTGTTGGGTAATGGCACTGTACATACTGCTAGCTTTGTGTGCCACTGCCTGCTCCACGCGGCGCACATGCCTAGACCTGTGGGGGAGCACAGTTCTGTGTCCAGATATGGGGGTGGCTGTTCAGGCATGGGGAAGAGCAGGCAAAAGGACAGCACAGCGATCTGAATGCCCCTGCACTGATGCTTTGGTGGACAGTGCATTGGCCACCACCGATTCCTCATACGTCTTGGAATGTTTGCATTGAAGCCAGCTGATTCGACCCCTGACGCCGTTCGTGCGCTGGCCAGATATACCAAAAGCGGCAGTAGACCCAAACCTCACCATGGTCTTGCAATCTGGCAGTAGCAATGCAACGACAGCAGAGACGACCAGAGACAAGGCCACAAGAGTAAACCTGCCTGATCCTCTTTCACAGCACAGTATACACATTCTTTCCAGCTGTGATCTTTTTTACTGTAGAACAACACACGTGCAGCACTTGGTCGTTTCCTGTTGGCGCCGTGACATCGGGCGATGATGCCAATCGCACTGGGATAGTCGCACCTCGAAAGCTGCCCTGAGCTCAGGTCGCATGTAGCATGTCACTGCACACCGGTCTTCTACAGATCAACTACTAGTTGTAGCCTGTAACTGTAGCCTTTATTTTCCCAGACAGTTCTTCTCATACATCCATTCGCTTGGATTTCAAGCCACTTTTCCACTACACCATGGCACTCGGATCAGGCCGATGCTTCTGGAGTGCAGGGACATGGGATGTTGCAGCAAGCTCAGCCCATTTCGATCGAACCTCCTTCGGAGCTGCGAGATCTGCAAACACTTCCAGGTGATGTCAGAGTACTTCAGGAAGCTTATCAAGCCACTGAGTTGAACATAGTTGAACTGTTGCTGGTGGTCTCTTTGCCTTCCAAGGGCACCAGAAAAATGCCAATCCAATCTACAAGCTCCAAAAGAAATCCTCCAATCCTTTGGACAGCGGGTGAAAGCGGGTGACTTGGTCCTTCCACTCCGCAGGTCCCTGGACCAACACACCCACACACCTATTGAACGTCAAGCATGCCCTTTGATACTAGTAGCCTCCTTGTTACTAGTAGTAAGGCAGCGTCCTTGCTCCTAGTAGCGATGCTTGTCATTACTAGTAGCGTACTTGTTACTAGTAGTAAGGCCAGGAGCCACTAGTAGCGTCCTTGCTCCTAGTAGCGATGCCCTTTACTAGTAGCCAGGAGCCAACTAGTAGCGTCCTTGCTCCTAGTAGCGATGCCCTT